GGATATTCATTGACAGCGCCCTTCATCTGGGATATAATGTCTATCAGTTGCGTTATAATTCCCAGATCCGTGGCTATGTCTAAAACAGATATAAATAATAATTTAAAAATCGTCCTCTCATTATGAAAAATTTCTCGAACGTAAGTGCGCAAAATGGATACCAGTCCTATAGTTGGTACTTTCATCGAGTACATGGGGGACGGATGCAGGCCTATTTTAATGTTCAATCATCTAACAGTCGTTTCTTGACTGAATAAATGTGATAGTGTGATCAGTAAATCGAGAATAAACGGGCCAGAAAAGCAGGTTTCTTCCCAAAAGATTGTTATGGCAAAGTTTGAGACGAATCAACACTGTGATCCAGAATAACCTCGTTTGCGAACTGCTTCTTCAGAAAAATTATGTCGGTCTCCCTTACACTTGGATGAAGAACACCATTTGTGGCGCCCATTTTATCGAAACTACGATGCTGTGCTGATCTCCGTTTTTATGCCGTCAACCGGGAGTATTTTGTTTTACAGTCACGTAACAAGCACAGCCCATAAACTCGTTTTCTACCACCAGAAAATGCCGTACGAACATATCTGCCTCAACAAAATAAAGTGCTGGTTGACCCCAATGCAGTTTGTACCAAAGGTCTCTCGATCGTGCGCAACTTTATTTGTCTTTTCCAAATAGAGACATCACAAGTGCAATGGTTTCAGCACCTGTTAAAGATTCCGTAGAAGAGACTATAAAGCAATTGACCAATACAAAGACCTAAGCCAAACTTATCGAGTATTTAAATACCTGGCATTTTTGAGATTTAGAATCCAGCACGCTTACTGCAGTGCCATTAATCTGACTATTACTTTTGGATTAATAATACGTACTGACGGATACCGTAGAGAAACGGTAGAAACTAGGTAGAAATACACTAATATGAATCGTCCTGGGATTTGTTCATGAAATCAAGTGAATAACAGCATTCCAGATTACCTATGTCCTGATGAACAATCACTCGGAAAACGCATTGTTTAGCAATCATCCTTCTCATCAGACATATTTCGTCCATGCGAATCATTGCAAGAACCAATAATAAGTTTTTCGGTTAGTACATTGACGAAGATATCCGTCACTGGTAGAACGATTATGCATTTGACTTGTAGGGTCCACCGATCCTACAACATACCGTTTGTACGATGTTCCCCACTCTGCAGGCTCCAAAGATTCACTGAATGCCTGAACTTCAATCGTCTATTCAGAAAGTTGTATCAACAAAAGAACAGTTTCCCTGCTGCTAAGAAAATGTTGCCCTCGAACACAGATACTGATACAATTAAGCACGTCTATCGTAGTACTACATAAAGACTCAAAGATCACTAATCAAAACAACCCGTTATGAATATTCAAGTCGCATCAACTGTTTTGAATCTGTCTGGTTCTACGCCGCCGGCAGAAACTAAAAATTGCCATTGCTACCTGTTTCGCTTTTGCTTTCATATTCTGAAGAAACAAACTTTTCATATCTCAATAATTATGGCATCGATGCTTCAGTCGGCGTTTATGATCTGTGATATTTTTATACTTTGCTATGTGTCAATTGTTTACTTTCCATACCTCATCATCTAGCTGAAGGGAGACTTTGATGAGGTATGAGCAACAGCAAATACCCTGATATCTCTGCGGTATCAGTAAGAAGGACCACAGAAGTAATACATTCAAAAGAGACATTAGGTGTAGTCGTAATTACAGAAATCCTTATCGAAAGCAGGATTTGTTGGTTTCATCGTAATCAGCATGCAGGATATGTATTAGCCAATAAAAGAACTAGGAAGATCAACGAGACGGTGGCAGGAATGATATGAAATTCCGAAGTGACCGAAGATTTGAGGAAGTATCGAAGATCACGGAAGGAAACGGCAATACATTATGAAGAAAAAAACATCCAACTGTGGATGAAAAACAGGATGAAGACATCATAGTTTAGGAGTCACCGCAATAATAATTCAGGTTTATCTGGCATAAAACGCACTCGCCTTTGAATTCATTTTTCTGCAACAACCAGGACAACAGGAACGAACTCTTTGTCAACAGTCGCTCGTTGTTAGAGGCCAAGATCTTGACCAAATAGTAGAAACCGTTCAGCTCTATGAACTGCTTTTCACCTTCGTTGAACCCCCTAACGATGCCTGCAACGAAATCAGTGAAAGGGTCTGATCCCGCGGCGGGAAACTAATCCAATAAGACGTACATGAAACAGCGAAAAGAGCTTTCACAGCTACCGACGGCCATCGCAGGAGCAGCTCCAAAAGTAACGGCAATATGTCCCGATCCAAGAGAACCTGCAAATCACAAATATAAATTCCTCTATTCTATGTTAACAAACACTCGATGCAACTAGTACTTTGTAGTGATATATTCCTTTGTTCCATGCAATTGGCGCCATTACGCGCAATCAATGGGTTGCGTGGGCTTTTAAAAACAAGTGGCAAAAATACCGAGCAATTGCAGGAAACGAGGCGTATCAAATGATAGATTTTTTTGCAAAAACAAGAATTTTACAACAGAACAGAAACGTTGAATGAAAATTTATTGACTTCTTAGTAACCTGGGTATTCGTTATTTCATCAGTAAGCTTCCGGAGCGGATGTTCAGAGATGGTATGCTACTTAGCCTGCATTATGACGCCAGTCGAACTAGCGATTGAGCGGATGGCCGCTGCGACCTTGACGAATTCATAGTTTTTGTAAATTCCCAGTCGATGAATAAACGTCTGTGTTAACATAAAATATTTTAAAAATTGGCTTAAATTTATTCATCTAAAGTTTTCTGAGAATTCGTTGAGTTGGCAGGTCTTTAAATACAACACTTCTTGAACTATGAAGTGACCCTAACATTACAGCAGTCAGCATCAACATCCTTCGGCTGAATAACCTCTGTTTTTCACTGTTTCAAACTGCACTTTGAACTTTAATTATATCTATACCTTGACTTTTCGATTTACTGGATGTCGCAAAGGAAGGGTTAATACATCCTCGCTCTTCTTGTCACTATTTGCAATGTATAATGTCTCATACGATTGCAAGTCAAGCCTTGTACTGGGCTTGGCTTGTAGTTTGTCGATAAATCGGCCCATCTGTGTTGTTGCAGTCCGGCCCTCCCTGATACTATCCAGCCATTAATTCTGACCTGCTTTCAACCTTTTCCAACATGGATTTGACATATTACGAACAATGATATTGATCAGTCGTTTGTCGTTCCGTCGAGTGCATCGCCGAAGAGTGAGGATTCTAGTTTCGCTGCTTCGTTCAGAGGAAAATTAATCAGTTGATACTGATTCCTGTTTGACGTAATCTTTCTATGATTTTTTCTGAAGTCCTCAAGTAGTTCAATATGTAATTTTATCCAATATCCTGTAGCTGACGAATATGAGGTAACAGCTGCGTTCAAACACGTCCAGCGCATTGGTTTCGTTTTTGGTAAAGGTTCATGTCGCCGCGGAATACACCCGAACCGGTCGAGTGGCTGTCAGATACGCACGGAATTTCTCTGATGTACTGACAGCATTTTTCACACATTTTTCTGCAGTATATTATACGCAATTCGAGCGTTTCTGATTCTTTCTTGAACGTCGGCTTCACAGCTTAAAACATTGGTGATCATCGATTCAACATAGCTTTACATTAACATACGGCTTCAAATAAAACCCTAATGGAGTTTTGTACAAACACGCGTCCCTGATGCTCTTACAACAAGTATTGCTTGATTTCGATAGAACGTTAATTCCATGCTACAATTTACTGAAACAGCGTGCTGCTGTGCTTAGAGTAACAGTTTCAATTAACAGTTAGTTGTCAGAAAAGACACTATTACTTTGCTATGTGTACATCTTGACAACTAAATTTTACTTGAAATCGATCTATCTGGATTTACAGAAGAAATCTTCTATAAGAAGATTAGCATGAAAAACGATATCGGTAAATTCTTAATTTATGAATTACTTTACCAAAACATAATCGTCACAGAGGTTAAAACTTTAGTCATCTATCATTATAACCTCGTTATTATAAGGTACAACTTCAAGCTACAGTAACAAACCGCTTAACGAATCTATTGGGTAATCTTTTTCTCATGCTAAATTGACGTTTTCATTTAATGTAGGTCGATGCGTGAAAACTCTTATTATGTACGGGTATTCCCTAAATGTAAGAACGCTAAATCAAAATTTCATTACCTTCTGACAGTACGGGTGATTCTGACAAAGAACCCCGACCAGTTCGGCGGCATTTGCTTGCACGTCCAGCTGCGAAGAGGCCAGAAGTGGAGGCAGGATGCGTATGCCGCCAATTTTTAAAAAATCTAAATACAAAAAAGTAATGCAAAACGAAATGAAGCAATGTATGAATCGAAACTTTCAGCTTAAACGCCTTTCACCTCACATACCTGACGCGATGTCGGTCTCGTAGCAAAGATCGATCAGCGTTTGCAACGCAGTGAGTACCTCAGATCCGGCTTTATCAGTCAACTCAGCCGAAAGTGCCTGAACGATCTTCTCCAACTGTTGCTTCATAATCCTTATCGGGTCGTTGTCTTTCATAAACTCTGACATCGCGCCTTGTAGCCATTTTATGTCCTAACAGATATCACAGTAGTAACAGAAGAACGACAACAAATGTAACAATTACCTCTTCTGATAATCGACTGATCGTCGACGGTGTTGCATTGACGGTGTCTTCGGCGCCGGCTCGACTGGCGAAATTCACTAGCGCACGCCAATAGTTAAGGGCTTGTTGGTCTTCCATAGGTCAACGCCTAGAGATAAAAACGTTTAAGTACTTGTAGTTTAAATACGTAAGAAATATTGTAGAAAAACTGTAAACCAAAACTTTACAACAGTTATCAGGCCAGTGGACTAGAAATATGAAACACAGATTAGTGTTGAAACTAGTCCTTCTGACCTGGTTCTGGTGTAGGGGATCAAAGGACACAAATTTCGTTGGTAGCTATGGTAAAGAATTGGAAACGATTGGTAGTGATGCCGAAATTTGTTGACCAGAACCAAAACTGAAAAATCATCGGTTTACTGAACTTTGATCATAACAGTAAAGGATTCGGTAAGTTAATCGGCTGACGAGGGCTAGAAACTGCAGTCAAAACCTGTACCCATCAAGACAAGGATTTGTCACCTGTAAATACTTCAAGTAAAAATTTTCAATGTAAATTAAATCAATGTGTTTATTAGCAAAGGGATGATCGAAGATCTATAATCTCTAAGATCTAAGAAATCCGATTCACGTTTGAATCATCAGCATCTGAATTTGAACAACGTGCTTCTGCACTAGTTTCGACACCAAATCTTCTGTTCATTGTTCAAATAGTCAATTGCAATTCTGCTATGTCATGAGCTGGAAAGTTAAAACAATTTTCCTTTTCTGAGAAACACATACGGCATTCAGGTAGCAAGCTTTCGTTCTCCATCGTAGAATTAGGTGTGTCAAAAGGTAGCTGTGCCTATGACTGCTCCATCAGCAGGTCACTTTCCACGATCACCGCATATCCTATAACCATATCTGCTTATCCATCGGATAGGGAAGCCAGACCCATCAGACGGTGCTTCGAACGCTGTGTATCCTGTGCAAAATTTAAGTTTCGGTAGAAGATAACCAGAGTCTGCAGCAGAGCCTGTCGAAGCAATTTCAGCAGGTCATTCTCAACTGTCTTCAGGGTCGAGGTCTTTGGTTGCTTCATTCAGTACCACGCCCTAATCCATTTCGGCTATTTGATGTTCCACTGTAAATGATTTCGTCGACTTTCTATTTCATCTGCAT